GACAGCTGAAAGGTTATTTTAGTAACTAGTTTCTTTTATTCTACTTTATGTCGTCCCCCGGTGTCTCAAATGGTAAGTATGAGCGCCTTATAACGCTAAAACTTGGGTTTCGATACTCGTCCTGGCCACAGCGTAGTTCAGATAGCCCATTATGTAGCTTTGTGCTTAACAACAAACAAAAATTTGTAACTTGTTGTTGCAGTAAATGTACTCAACATTTGAAGTTCACGTGAAGTTTACTACAACTGTTAGACATTTTGGCATTCAACAACGTGTTTTATACGCAGACGCAGAAAGAGACCTCGTGCTATGAGTCGTCTATTTCCGCAACTGTACCAGACATGTTAAGAGGAAGTAATATAATTAAAAGAAACCACAACCTTCAAAGTCTAGAGACTGAGAGAGGGTCGTGTGTCTATTCTCTGGAAACACCATTAATGGACAGCATTGAAAACGATCAAAAGGTTAGTACTGTCTCCTTAAAAATGTCGGATAAATAAAAGCAAAACAGAAACCTGGCCTTTCTAAAAAACTTTACATTCTACAGTTAGTACCCTTTAAAACCGATTTGATGGATATATTGTGTGGGATTTGAAATTGTTATGTACAAGGTGTGACTCCTTTCTAATAAGTTAATTACGTGAACAACAGTTTATTTGACACGTGAGTTCATTCTTAGATCGTATTCGTTACCCTTCTTATGACACTGTGAAACATTTTCCAATATGTTATCCAATCCATGATGTTATAATACGACTACGTAAAGCGTCAATACTGCAGAAACGTTAATGAATAGGAAATTTAAGTGTAGCTTTTATAATTTCGAAACGACGTACGGATCCAATACTGCAGGGGCGTTAATGAATAGGAAATTTAAGTGTAGCTTTTATAATATCGAAACGACGCACGGATCCAATACTGCAGGAGCGTTAATGAATAGGAAATTTAAGTGCAACTTTTATAATTTCGAAACGACGCACGGATCCAATACTGCAGGAGCGTTAATGAATAGGAAATTTAAGTGCAACTTTTATAATTTCGAAACGACGCACGGATCCAATACTGCAGGAGCGTTAAT